ACCAAATACAAATGTAGGTGAATTTTAAATGATGAATAATAATATTTTCATCAAACTTTTTTGGACATTGATAAATTTTTTCTGATTTGGTATGGTAGTTGAACATAATATATTAGTAATTGTTTGCAATTCAATATACAAATGCAATATAAATAAATACAAAATCATCTGAATTACAGTCGCATGTCAGTAGCAGGTCACATGTTGCTATTTGAGAATGGATTTACTGACTATCTCTGATTACAATAATTTGGATATTCGGTATCCTACACTGGCATACACGTATATTCAGATGGTATATTTGCTCCTGTCTTAGGAAGTTCTAAACCAGACATATCAATATAAAGTTGTTTTACATTTGCTGTTAATACAAACATTGGATACTCTCAATTTAGAATCAATACCCAATTGATGTGCAAAGATAATACAGAGCAACAGAAACGAGCCGGAATACAAATACATTTAGAGGAAATATTTAGACAAATATCTTTTAGCATCTAGTAAGCTTTTAAAACAGTTATTAGTTGCATATTTGATTTTGCTAAAACAGTTTTTAGCTCTGTTGTCGACTTTGTCGGGCGGAATGATTGTCTGTTGTCAGCTTTATGCTTTTTTTACTTCTTCTTGAAAAATACAAACCTTTATTGTGTTGTAATTTGTTGTATATGTAAATTGGGAAAACCTCTTAGATTTGTTTATTTCTTGATGTTATCTTCAATTCTCCCCTCGCTTTCATGAATATTTTTGTCATTTTTAGTAAAAAGTGATATTTTTGACTTCTTGTTGAAAACCCCAAGTCCAATTGCTTTGATATTATACGTATAAGTACTACAAGTAGTGGTCTCTCAGATTTGTTCATTTTGTAATGATATCTTTGATTCTGTAATTTTCATGAATATTTTTGGTAAAAAGTGAAAAATTTTTGATTTCTTGTTAAAAACCCCCAATTCTGATTGCTTTGATGTTATATATGTATATGTAGGTACCTCAGGTAGACCTCTGTAATATTTGTTCATTTTCTAATGATATCTTCTGTTCTTTAATTGAAATGTGCATTGCTAACAGCAGAGCTATCTCAGTCGAGAGGCTGCTTGTTCTATTGTTGTCTACATATTTTTTGACAAGAAAACATGTTTGTTCCTACTTGCTGAGCCAACAAAACGTATGCATTTCCATATGAACACAAAATATGTCTAACAGACATTTACCCAATTGTGTCTTTCCATCGATTCAATATTACATGCCTTCATCCGCCCCCAAACAAACACACACTTTAGAAGAGGAACATTCAGGGATTTTTGCGGTCATGTGAGCCATGTACAGACCATCGTCAATAGCAATTCTTAGATATTCAGAGTTAGCCACTCGGTACAGTGACAGACATCATGTTTGGTGGTTTTAACGGTACTTTGCTTCTGGTGTGCTTTTATAAAACCATCCACTTCGTCTGGTACTTCATTTTCTGGTGCTGGTCCGAGAATTTCATCAAGTTGGCCCTGTCCTATCGATCACAACCACTGCATAATATCCATTTCGTCTGCTGCAGCCATTATCGTCTGCAGGTTGTCAATGGAGTCGGCTAACACGATGTGTAAACATATCCATCCACAGTGCCAAACTTATTGATTAATGCGATTGCATGTAAAACTGTTACTGCTTATGAAAAATGTACCTTTTTACCAATAAGAATTACCTTTAAACATTAGGATATAAACCCTGTATTCTTTATGTTATTAAAGGCATGTAATAAAAATAATGTTGCTCAAATGATCACCTGCACTCGGGCACAAGTTCATTATTCTATTCAACTATTCGGACAGTAATATATAATAGCATGTGTGTTGGGGAAAGCCGATGTGAAGACAATTCTAAAACCATGAGCCAAAAAATGGAACACACTTTTTGAGGGTTAGAGCTAAAATCTGTAAACGACCAACAACCCATAATTGCATCTTTGGTAGTATATTGAAGAAACCCTAGTAGGTATCAATGGCATTTCTTTTTGATTTTTTTACATCATAATATTGGTACCCCAAATTTCATCTCTTATAACAAAGAATGGGAACAATCCTAGAATCGAATAATTTAAAATATACATTTACAAGAAGTTCCATGAAGTTTGTTGAACTTTACTGATGCACATGACTTTTTTTTGGCTTCCATGTGCAAAGCACACAATGCGAGTCTTTGCAGTTAGTATGTCTCTGTGTGTGTGTCTTCCACTGATATCTCAAGAACCAATTATCAGATTTTAATTAAATTTGGTACTTAGATGCTCTGGGATAAAGTGCATACCTGATTAGTTTTTATTTGCAATTTGTGTATATTAATTACCTAATTAGCATATTAATAAATCAATTTTAAGCCTTTTCATTTTTTTCTCGTGTACTATTCAACAGATTTCAATGAGACTTAGCACATAGATGCTCTGTGATAATGCGCAGACCTTTTTTGTTTTGGTTTTAAATCCAGGCATATTAATGATCTAATTTGCATATTAATTAACCAAAATTTTACTTTTCCAACAATATCCCAACCACTCACCAGATTCAATAAAACTTGGTACATAGATGTTTAGCGATATGCCATATGCGATTTAAATTTAGGGTTAAAATTTGTGCTTGCTAATTCGCATAAATTAACCAATTTATAGGTGCACTACAGATGAGTCCCACTCATCAAATTTTAATGAAACTAGTTAATACAGTATTCTTTATTTGTTGTATTCCAAAACCTTCAGCACACAGAAGTTTTCTTTGATTCTGTGCGTATGAATGAATGAAATTTATTTTACCGAAAAATAAATGTATTTCTGTTCCATGGATATCACTAGAACTGCTTGTCGGATTTCATTGAAACTTGGTACATAAGTGCTCTGTAAAATATGCATCAGATATGCAGTTTTCGGTAGGAATCTTTGCTTTTCCGCTGATATTTCAAGTAATAATCATCACACTTCAAGAAAAGTTGATGCTGTTGGACATTACTCAGAGCTGATCAGTTTCGGCTAAAGTCCATGCTAATTGATTACCTCAATAAAACATAGATGCTCTGTGACAATGCGATGACCTAAATAGTTTTAGGTTCAAATACATTTACAATGTATAATAATTACCTATTTTGCATAATACTGTAAAATACTTTATTTTAGCTGGAATTAATTTTCGCTAAAAAAAAAATGATTATTACATTTGAATAAGACTTGGTACATGCGTATAAGTTCCTAGGAACAACGATAAAGACCTGTTTAGTTTGGGATTGAAATTCAAGTAATTACCTAATTTGCATGTATAATCATCACATTTCATTTAGTGATTAGTTTAATAATTAGTTTAATGTTGAAAACAATGTATATTAATTATTTAATTTTTATTAGTTAATTTCTAATATTTCAAAAAATCGGATTTTAATTAAACATGTGGCCGAGGTAGTGTGAGTAAATCAGACTTCCTTTACCTCTGACACGATCGCTGTATTGTTTCCTGTCTTACTGGTTTTCATTTACATTATTCATTTACTTTTTCTAGTCTAGAGTCTCATAATGTATAATTGTTCATAAACATCATATTTATATTTTTCTAATGTGGCCTGATCATTATTTCTATAAGTCTGATAATTCAATAAGTTTTTGAGGTTGCTTGCTGATATTTTATATTTGATCATGATTATATCAGACTTAGAATAAAACTTAAAACACCAAATTCAAACTCTCAACTCGGCAAATGAGTGTGTCACTGTAAGCATATCTATTCCTTGTAACGCCACAGCACACAGTTATGTACGTTATGTCGCTATGGGCTGCATCGTTGGTACTAAGGCACTCTACATGTATGAACGAGGCATTTCCAGAGGTATTGAGGTCAGAGGTTGATTTGTTTACAGTAGTTTCCTTTTGAATGCGCGATTTCATTTTGTTTGTTTTTGATAATTTGTGTCACTAGCAAAGTAAAAACTGCAAATAACCACTGTGCAGCTAATGTGAATAGATCTTCACAACGTATATTGTGTTTGTAAATTGTGAGAATTGCTTTTGTCACATTAATGGGAAAAATTATTACTCTAGTATTTGTTTTTGGATTTAGAGACCATGCATTTCTGAATAGTATGGCAACGTTTTGCAGACTTCTATTTTTACAGCTATCTTTGTGTTGCTGACAAAGGTGGATAACCTTTCGATCAATGCACGTTTTAAATTTCTGCAAGACAAGGCTGTCACAAACACGCGGAGGGGGTTGGGGGGTGTCCAACCATTGCGGTACCATGATGGGGAGAACACTGTCATAACATCAAAATAAAAGCATGTCTGAAATAAATAATACATAATAAACTTTACATTTGCCCTTCGAATAGAAATGTATGAATGCTGTATATCTATATCTTTGCTACTCCATAAATGTAGATATATTGTCAGCAGTTTACCCACCTCAAGAGACAAGTCTGAATACTGCCCTCTTTCAGAAAACTTACATTTTTTCACTAACAATGATAGAGGGCGCTCTTTGAGATTATGGCAGGTATTAAAATCCTAATTGTGTGAAAACTATTATTATACATCTGTCACTGTAACGCCGTAAATTACGTTGTGCCGTAATTTTGTGGTATTTACAGGTTATTTTCATCCTACCATATTAGGAAATGAGAATTCCAAATATGGAATGATTATACGTGCAAGCGTCCTCTAATAATAAAAACAAACATGGCTGCCACCTGGGTTTGACCGGACTCTACACAAAGTTCGCTGATTCTGTTCTGAACAGATACTAACGGATAACTATATGGTCGTTACTCCTGCTGTACTGTCTTCGTGCATACTTTGAGGTATCCTTTTAATAACCTCATATTATTATTTAATTGTCAAGCAATTTTTGTCATTCTTGAAATGATCCTTGCCTTGAAGCAGTTGTATTGGAGATTACACTATTATGTCTGAGAAGTTTGTTGTGCAAAGAATTTTTTTTTTTCTGTGATTTCTCTTGTAACGAAATGTTTATTTTTTGCAGGCAATGATGTATGATGTGGATAAATTTGTACATCCTCCTGACCCAGAATTAATATGTTGTATCTGCACGTGTGTGTTCGATTATCCAATGGAAAGCCCATGCAGACATGTCTTCTGCCGAGACTGCATTCACAAGTGGTTGGAAGGCAGAAAAAGCTGCCCGACCTGTCGAAAACGAATAAACAGCACGTCAAAAATCAAGCCAGTTTTGCCGATTGTATCGAATATGATAAATAAATTACTGATGAAATGTGAATACCATGACAACGGATGTACACAAGAAATTCCACTTGAGAGGCATAGTGAACATGTGCTTGGATGTGAATTTAAACCTGGCAAATGTATCTTCTGTAATGGAGCAATTCTGGTGAAAGACAGAGATGAGCATGAAAGAACATGTCCATGTCGGATGGTTATGTGTAACAGGGGATGTGGTCAGTCCATTAAACAGAATGCACTTGAATCTCACAGTTGTATTCAACAGCTGACATCCAAGATCAAAGGTATGTGATATAAATTACAGTTGTATTAGGCCAGACTTTTTTTATTCCTTATTTCGTGAGTTTTTATAAGGAGGGTGAAAAAAAAATGAAATTAATTCTTTTTTCCCATTAGATTTGTGTGACTCTCAAAGAATTGTAAGTGAGATCATTGATCGGAGAGAAGAAATGGAATATAAATTTATTCCATGTATAACCTTGTTTCTCATCTGCGTGAGACTTTGGTACTTTGATCATGATACTCCCACGAAAATGCAACTTAGATTTGTTATGCGGTGGGCGGTAAAAAAATGAAGATAAAAATAATATTTTTTTTAGCATTTTTTTGTGCTTACAAGTTGGCGGGCGTGAGAAATGACTCTGTAATGAAATAAAAATATAACTTTAATTTCATTTTTCGGCTCCTGTTCATTCGGCGGGTTCGCGAAACAAGGGATAATAAACGTCTGGCCTTATGGACATATAAACATGCAAGACAATATTCAAACTCATGACCATGGCAAAGCGCCTTGCCATTGTAAGCATTGTGTACCTCCTTATGTCACTACCCCTGCTCAACATCCAAATGATGTGTATTAATGTGCAAACAGAATCTTTGACTTCATTGGTAATCCAGGGTCCATACATAGCATTGGGAAAATTCTTTGAAAGTCTTTGGATTTGTTAAGGTCTGGAATATCTTTGTGGTGTCTTTAATTACAGGAAAAATAAAAAAAATCTTTGAAAACTCTTTAAATTTCTTCAAAGTTATTAATTCATTTTAGAAAGGCCTGTTTTCTCCAGGGAACAATCATATCCTCAGAACTTTGGTGATGATGTTGGCCTGAATTAAAGGTCAAAATATCTTGGGAAAAGGTGTGGAAAGGTCTTGGAACTCATTTGGCTCTTGGTGCTATGGACCCTGTAACCGCATACGTATGACCTATTCAGACTTGTGCCACGTTATAATTATTCGCTTCCAGGTCATTATGCTACTTCATATGGCAGCATCCAGCACTATGCTACTTTATATGGCAGCATCAATCAGTATACTACTTCATATGGCAGCATCAAGCACTATGCTACTTCATATGGCAGCATCAAGCACTATGCTACTTCATATGGCAGCATCAAGCACTATGCTACTTCATATGGCCACATCAATCAGTATACTACTTCATATGGCAGCATCAAGCACTATGCTACTTCATATGGCAGCATCAAGCACTATGCTACTTCATATGGCAGCATCAAGCACTATGCTACTTCATATGGCAGCATCAAGCACTATGCTACTTCATATGGCAGCATCAAGCACTATGCTACTTCATATGGCAGCATCAAGCACTATGCTACTTTATATGGCAGCATCAAGCACTATGCTACTTCATATGGCAGCATCAAGCACTATGCTACTTCATATGGCAGCATCAAGCACTATGCTACTTCATATGGCAGCATCAAGCACTATGCTACTTCATATGGCAGCATCCAGTACTATGCTACTTAATATAAACTTGTGTTATTTGTGTATGCAATTAATTATGAAATAAATTCTAATGTTGTCAATTGACCAGATTTAAAATGGACATGTGATTTTTGTACACAATCCGATTTATTGTGATATCTGCTTTGTACAGAGATTGAAGAAAACTGTAAAAAGTGGATAAAAGAGACAAAAGAATTCATGAATGAACTAAACCTTGTCCAAAATGAAGTAAAACAGATGAAAGATCTAAAGCTTAAAATTGAACAACAAATAGATAGGTTGCGTAACACTGATGAAATTGACACCAGTATTGCAGCATACAACAGGAGTGATGAGAATGAAGATGAAAATGAGGAGGAGGAGGAAGAAGAGGAAGATGATGAAGATGAAGACAGTTATGATGATAATGATGGTGATGATAACTATGTTGAGGAGGAGGAGGAGGAAGAGAATGAAGAAAATAATGACAATAATGGTGGTGGGAGTGATTCTGATAATGCAGATGACAATTCAGATAATTATGCTGGTAGCAGTGAAAATAGTGATGATAGTAATGGTCATGATAGCAGTTATGACGAAAGCAGTGAACATAACTATGACAATGAGTCTGAAATATCCGGCATACAATTGGCTACAAGTGATAGCACCAGCGATGAAAATGATCATGATTACAGCCATAACGTTGAGGATGACTTGGATGAAGTTCCACTTATTGATCTTCTTACTGATCATGAAAGTTCTGAGGATGGATCATGGGTACAAGATTCTTGTGACCAATCCACTGATACAACAATCAGTGAGGAATTCACAGACGAAGAGATGTATTCAAGTGATGATGATAATCATATAACGTTTTATGATCTATTGAATTCATATCATTCTGATGATTCAGATGTTTCGTGGGATCCTTATAATATCTCCATCAGTGATTCATCCTCTGATGACCAAGATGAGGCAGAAGGGTCACTAAGAAGGAATCTGAGAAAAAGAAGAGCATCTAATGATGAACCCGATGGTAGTAGTTCTGGTTATCGACAAAGGCTAAGAAAACAAATTCGGTTAAATAATTCTAGCAATACCAGTAATGAGAACAATGAGTAGATGAAGGTTTGCAGCTTCTTGCTATAACTACCGTACTTCCAGGAGTATAAGCCCAGGGGCCTGAACATGTAAAATCTGAAAAAATAAGGGGTGGGCTTATACTCAAGGACCACCTCAGACAAAAATATTTGTTTGGTGCGTTTAAAAAATTGTAGCCATTTTTCCAAGCTATTTCCGCCATGGTTTCATCATGTTTTCCGATTATTGACAAAGTATTTTTTTCAACGCAATGCGCAAGTGAATTACCGCGATGTTAAAATGTGATCTGTTAACACTGATTTCGACAAAAAAACAGTGATTTTTTTCCCCACCAAAAGCTGATTATTCACAATTTTTGAAAGGTAAACTGAAGGTGAAGGAAGTATTTAAACCTTTCACGGCCGCCAACAAGTCGAAGAAAACGATGATCAGTGACCAGGTTTCAAGAGGTTTTTTGAATGCAATGAAATACACTTTTTACATGCATATTTTAATAAATGTTGTTGATGCCCGGTGAAAACACCCTGGGCCTATACTCGGGGATGCCTTCAACTTGTTAAATGTCCAAAAACAGAGGGGTGGGCTTATACTTGGGGAGGGGCTTTATACTCGGGGGGGGGGGGGAGTACGGTATATAATAATCCTGTTACATGTAAATTATTGAGTGTATGATGTTTACACCTCAGTTTCTGTATGACTTGATGTATACAGTTTTTTTGGTATAGGTGTGTAACATGCCAATATTTAAATATATTTTATATTTTTGTTGCTTCACCCTGTGTACGATGAGATGAGTATTTCTAGTATAAGATAATTCTCTCAAAGCTACACTCTGGCACCCCTCCAACACATTTTTTGTGGTTTATTTGTTCTTATCTTTATTTTATTTATGATTGTTTGCCTTGTTTTGCAATAAAAAAAATATAATTTGTCTATATAGATTGCATACAGTTTTTGAAACAAGTACAAGAAGAGATTATGTGGATAAATGAGCATATTTTAGTTGTTTCGTTTGAAAATGCATCTTGATATGGTATAAAATCCTTGTCTTGGTTCATTACAGTAATGTAAAGATTAGTGTACAATGCTTTAAAGTAGCTTTACTTGCAGATACATCTTAGGCACATGTACATTATTGTTATTGCATAGAATGAATATTCTACTGCTATAAAGTTAATTGTACCTTAAAACAAACTATTCGTTATTCGCATTGTCTTTTTAATAAGCAAAACATGTACAGCAAAACATGGTCTTTGACTAAATGTTTTGCCAGCTATCTGCCCCACCCAATATTCATCAGTTGCTGGGTCGTAAATATGCCAAGCAAATCATTTCATTTGGATTTGATTGAAATGGATTTCAAATGAAAACCGTGGATATATGGCTATATTTAGAAGAATAAACATTTGCTGACTTCAATGTTCTTTCCATACTAAAAGGAATTTGACATATTGTTGCCACATCTAATTTTGACTGTTGACTATTGAGTTGCATAAAATATCTTCTAAAGTCTGTCTGAAATTTATAATATTCTTTTCCTTTTACCCCAAGTTGGTTCATCGTTCTGTGTTTATATTTATATACATGACTTGTGTCTACTTTTTTTTCGAATAAATATTTTACAAAAACTAATAATCACTTGTGTTGGTTATGCTATTTGAACATATATACTTTGCTAAATTCCAAATTCAGATACACCACACTTGAATGTTTGTTTATCTTACCAATCTCTTGACTAACTTTTTCTCACTTCAATTACCAAAGTTACATGAGTTAGTCAACTACTGGTTCTAACTAACATTTCTATATCAAAAGTAACAAATAGGACTGGGAATTTACATTAGTTGAAGTTTTGTTCATTTCTCTTCAACCAGTGTGCAAAGATGCTAATGTAAAGTATAATATGAATGTATGTATGGGTGTAATGGTAGGTAAACCGGTATGTGTAGTATAACAAAAACAAGTTCCTGTCAATCCCAAAATTAAAAATTTGTTTGCATATCCTGAAGTCGCCACGAATACAGGGAAGCCCAGGCAGTTGTAGATAGGCATATTCACTCCCTCAATTGTCCCAATCTGGCATTACCCCATTTCTTAATATCACTATTACCTGCCACTGTTGGAGCTTCACGAGTGAAAGCAGCAAAGCTTCTCAATGCAAATACATATTTAGTACATTTGCAATTCCCTAAGTTATTGAAAGAGTTTCAAAACATGTTTTTTGTAAACTGCAGGGGTTTACATTTCCCGGTAACTATCAATCCTAGCCACATGTATAAAATATTTACGCACTTTTTATAAGCATCACCAAAATGCACTGTCAATTCCATTGGATGGTTATTAGTCTGACTTGTATGATTATTTATAATACTATTTGTATTACTCTTTAAGGCTCATGATATTTGTATTCTAATGCCTTGAGGGTTGGGCACATGTACATTGCAAAATTTAAAAGTAACATAATAATGGGCATTATACACCAGCTAAGTAATTGATGGCGCAAATAGTCAATCAGATATACCATACCAGCTGGTGATTTATGCAGTAATAAAAAAAAACTGGCCCATAATTCCCCGCTGCAGACTTGAAAGTTGCTAGCCCGAAAGTTTCAATGTGGTGTGGTCCTAGTAGCTGTGTGGTCAGTTTAAACAGATGATGGGATTTAGAAAGTTGTTTGTTTATGGGAGAATTATGTTGAGCTTGCCTACTACATTAAAGCCTTTCTTGAAGCACTGTGACAGGATTATTGTAGTGTGGCTATGCAAATTATGGTAGTCTGTTAAAGTGTTCAAGTAAATGCAGAAAGCCTGCTCATAAACGCATAATAAAGGGTACTACCCGGTACTAGTTATTCATGGTCACTGATTGGTAAGAGTTCATTCACAGGAGTCGTTTACTTTTTAGCCCTTGAATATAATAAATGTATACATTAGACATTCTAAACGCATTGTGTAAAAGATAGCAATTGAAAGTGAGCAGCAAGAAAACTAAAATCATTTTCAATTTCATGTTCAATAGTAAAGGTATTGAGATTGTTTAATGTGAAACGTACATGGGAATCACTAACTCCTGGAAAATTCAATAAAGCAATGAAAATGTTTCCGGAATATATATAGAAAATTGTATAGCTTTTTATGTCCAAGCATCTCAATGCTTGGAATAAACGTCAATTGCGACATTATTCGATATACTGGTTGTGCCAATCATGTATAGTTCTAAAGTATAGGAGCATTCAGTTATAAACTATTACCCAAAATAAGTTAAATAAATGAAGTTATTCAAACAGTTCAATTCAAGGCATGAAAGAAATTTCTATGGGGTTAATCATAGGAAGACTGATATTTTGTGCCACAGTAAATTAGAACGGTTTCCTTTATACATTAAAATAACATAATTAAATATTGACACAGAACGATAGAATATCATAGGAAAATTTAATTTATATTAAAAACATGTCTGCATATTTGGATTTTGTAGTATTGCAATTGGCTTTGGCTAACCAGCATTAGAAATGTTGAAAAGCAACAGCTTACCAGGCGACCCTTCTTAAATAACGCCAAATATAATAAACCATAAAATATTGAAAACCCCAGTCAAGTGCAGGCGGTTGAAAGTTTAATCGTCTCGTGTCTCATTTTGTATTCAAGAAAAGCCTTGAGTATCTATCGCACGACAACAGGGACACTAGTTTACTGAAGAAGGTAAATAGAAGTCTTGACGAGTGTTCTCAGTATTGGTGTACAGGACTGCCGAAGGTAACAGGCTACCAATAACTATCGCGCAGTACAACATGACATTTGAAATAACCGTCCTGAGTGACCAAAATGAGATCAGGAATCGATATAATAGACTGATTCTTACCCTGTGTTTATACGATTGTAATTATAGAAGGAATGTGTGAACATTTCTTGAAATCTGTATATGAAATATTGCTGTGTTGGTCGTACTCGGCGTGAACACTGTAAATATCATTGTTCGCATTCCCTCTAGACGTGCCAAATTTTTGTTTTTCTTTAGTATTGGTATGATGATAATTAAACCTGTTGTCTTAACATGTAGCTTGTATCAGATTAACAAAATAGCAGAGTAGGGAAAGAAAAGGGTGAGTATTGGCACAGTAAGCAATCGAATAATGTCACATATGCACGTACTGGCGATTGTGACTAATGTTTATAGTATGCAATTGGAAATTGGGCACGGAGTAGACAGGAGAGCATACCAGGACGTGCAGAATGAGGAAATTATCAGCTGTCACTGGGCAGGAAATATGTATAATCGTCAGGACAATGATCCGATATTATGTTAATTAGTACTGATTAAAACAAAGTATATTTATACAATATTTGCAGTGGATGTTGTGTGTCAGCTGTATGGCATGTGGATTTCATATCACCAACAAAATGACGTCATTTTATCGATATGTGCTTTTATACGTTATTTCATTTTGTTCTGGATACATTGTATCAACCATGATATTGTTATCATCCTACGGGCAATCTGCGATACCCAATAGGCAGTTGGAAGAAACTAATAATTATGACGAACAGAGTAAACAACATGTACTCGACAATGTTTTGGGGTCAATACGCAATTACGCAGGCAGGCATAAACACAGACAACCAGAGGTCGGCGTGTTCGACACGACTACACATGTCGCCAATCATACGACCGTATGCCCCGCGATGTCACCAATCAACTACATTGGCCATGGAATTACAATGGAACCGTTGCAATCAGTTCCAATTATTGGACTTTCGATAACAGAGGATGTTCAACGCTTTGTACTCAAATACGAACAATTACGTTTGCGGATAAAATCTCTAAATTCATTTGGTCACTTGTTTATTTCCATGTCAAAGGAAGAGGTTAGACACACACGTGTAATAATTGCTGGCAATTCAACTGGGAATATCATCGTTGATGTACCAGGCTCAAATATTTCACAATTATTGAGTTTAATTTCTACAATTTCCTACACAAATTTTATATACGATACCAATGAGCAAGACGTACTTGAAGTAAATTTTTTACATTACTATATTTATATAAATTTACATATTAGGAGACCATCGCTGCCAAATCTATTTAACACTGGTGGACACAATGACCTGAGTCGGAGTGTCTCTGTCATGACAACAACCCTTGGACGGTATGGATCGGTGAACAGAATGATTGATAGCGTGCATTTCTTTTATCCTAACTTGGCTATCATCGTTGCAGATGGTTCGAAATCTATTGAAAAAATAAACAAACTTCGGACAAAACAATTCACAAAGCCTTCATATGGAGGTTTTTTCGCAGGCAGAAACTTGGCACTGAGCCAAGTACGAACCAAATATGTCTTGCACGTTACTGATGATATGTATTTCACACATGCTACCAAACTGGAAGTTTTGCTTGTTGAAATGGAAAATTCAACTTATGATATAGTTGGTGCTGGCGTTTGGGAAAACAACAACAACACTGACTGTACAAATCACATCTCTGTACACAAAAGCGTGGAGCAGCTATCAGGATCTTGCCGTATGACAGAATCGATCCCCATTTTTTTCCTAGCCAAAACCGCTGTTCTCCGAGAAATTATGATTTTTAAACGAGCCATGTCTGATGAAGAACTATTTGAGAATGTGTTACCTGGTATGAACTTATTTTGCGAGAATGTCTGGATATACAGGGAGAAGTTGTAAACGATGTTTTATTCAAAATCGATCCGCGTAAATGGAGCATACTGCAACAAAGTAATGGTGTATACATTGCATCTGAGAGACTGACACTTGTATAAAAAAAGATGCGCGTTTTTTCCACTAAACTTTAATAACACGTAGATATGCATGATTACCCCTGGGATCACACGGCACTATAGAACAGTGTATGTTTTTGGAGTTCAATATATAATCTGATGCTCTGTTCGATCAAGTCATAATATAATATAATATAATATAATATAATATAATATAGAAATTGTTGACGGAAATTAAAACAGGCGCTCAATAGGATTATTTCTATAACGTTTTTCTAAAGAGTTAAGATTATAGTTACGTTCTGTACAACTACAATACATCACAATTATTATAACCCGTTGAACAGAACACTTGTGGTCCATCCAGTTGCCATGGTTACAATGCAGCAGCTGACCTGCAATACTAGATTGTAGGACATCGACAGTTATGGTCTCATTTTATAAAGCTGGTCTTCTTTATATCACATCATTTTCAATTGGCTGCATTTTATCGTTTGTGGGGTTCATTTCAAGCACAGATAGGGAAAATGGACATTGGAACAGTTCGCGGTTACCGTATTCCGTGTCGGACGTGTGTTGTAAAGATGTTCAACATGGATCCTGGCGAGAGAACGTGACTGTTATTAAGGCAAGAGTGGCACACGCACGCCAGCAGTGTAAATGCAGATCTAAATACAAAATAACGTCAAATGAAGAGAAACGATTGCAGGCGGCAGAAGAGTTCTACAACGATACTAAGAGACTAGAAGAACCGTTCATTCTATGTAACG